CCTCACGTGAATTTCCTCACGCAGCAGGGGAGGGGGCCGGGGGCGCCAGCCTCCCCGGCGGCGAGGAAGAGGAAGAAGGAAGAAGAGAAGAAGAAGGGCGTGCTATGACTAGCTCTGATTTACATACACGCAACTTCCCAGTTCGGAACTGAGGCAGGTCGGTGGGAGGTTTTGCTTTCCCGCGGAGGGGGAGAGGAGCGCCGGGGCGTTGGCGGGGAGAAGTGGCTGCCGTGAGTCGAGCTAGTGCCATTGGGGAAACAGCCTGAGAAGGGTGTGCGCGAGCGTCTGGATGTGTGCGAGCCGCCCTGGGTTGTTTTATTGGGTTTCAGCTATGGCTGTTGGGCACTAAAAATGCTTCCTGTCTTTCTCAAACCTTGCCTTGCAGATATCCTTGCAGCACTAGGACCACCAGGCTGCTACTCCTCAGATCCCAGCAGACAGAAACTGTCTTCTAGTTTCTCTGAAACCAGAGCCAGACAGTGGGGCCCTGATCCTCCAGGTCTCAAGGGATGGCAGCATCCAGAAGGCCCAAGCAGGAGCTTTGCGGGTCACCTTTTGGACAAGTGGAGAAGAAAGTCCACTATGTGCCTTGGGACTACCAAGAAATGAAGATGGTTCCCAGACATCTTCTCTCCTACACAGCAGCCCTGGATTGCAGGGGACAGCTGAAGGCCCTGTGATTCAGGTTGGAGTCAGCACATAAGGTCTGACCTGAAGTGAAGCAGATTCAATGAATCAGTGCATGGGCAGTGTATCAAATTAAATATTAATGATGTAGCACTAGTGATGAGCTGTAGCTCTTGGTTACCTTAAACTTCCTTCCCAGAGGAGGTTGTAGCATCTCCACTCCAAAAGTAGAGACAACAGACTTGGAAGCCAAGGGCCTTTTTCTTGTCTCCTGCTATTCTACCTTCCCAGCAAAGTGCTAGAATAGAGCAGAAAGACTCTGTTCATGTCAGTCTGTATCTGTGCCTTTTGGAAGGGGACTCTGGTGGGTTTGTGGGTCCCATACCTCAGTGGGATGGAAGATGTCTACCTAACACTACAGTCTGTCCCACAGCGTAGAGGCCTTCAAAGAAGGGGGTGGGGAAAGTGATTCTGGCCATCAAAGGTGGCAGTGAAGTGGCAGATGTGGAGGTGGTAGGGCAGCAAGAAAAGGAGAGGGAGAGAGGCGTGGTAACATTTTGGTATCTGGTATGGGCTTCCAGTTCCACCCCCATTCAAACCATGGTGTAACTACAGTAACGAGAACAGTGGCTGCATGAAAAAGGAGTTTCTGTGTTGGGGATGTGTCTCTTCATCCTCCCCCTGCCTTTTTCCAAGCTCAAGAAAACAACTGGAATGGTGTCTTTGCTAGTGATAGCAGATTTCTAATATGTTAATGATGTTACCTGCAGAGGCAAGGATATTTGGGGGCACTTTTAATGTTAAAACTTACTTTGTCATGGTACAGGCTATCAGAATTAACAGTACTAAGGAACTAGATACAATGGTAAATTAGAATAGTAAATGTAATTTTAAAACATATACAAAAAATAACAATTCCCTCTTCAAGGACCGAACAGCATGCAATCTATAAGACATGGGATAACATATGAGCATTGAGAAGAAAATTTTAAATAGCTGATCATTTTTTAAGTACCATCCATCTGGTGCCTTGAGAAGTCTATTGAAAGAAACTCATATACGATAAAGATGAAAACTGTATCATACCGTCTCATGCTGCATGCACAAAAGGTTGAGTGGGGAGAAAGTAGGACTGCAGCCTTCAATTTTACTTCAACCTGATGATACAAATTTTTTGTCCAGAATAGCTAAGAGCCAAAGAAAGAGAAGCTTTGGACCAAGCAACTTTTGAATGAACAGAGGCAGCACTTCCTCTTCCAACTTTCTTCTGTTTCCTCTGTTGTAACCATGGAGAGCCATCTGATGAAAAATAGGTGCAGTTCTGTGGAGCAAGGATGGTAAGTTCACATGAGGTTGTGGGTTGTCCCCCATTACAGGGACACTGTAGTCTGAGGGCTGTGATTTGTGAGCCTCTTAAAAGTTTTTGGACAATGAGGACCTGGGACTAGAAAAAGTAACTCACGTTGATTTATTGTCATTTCCCTTCAAATAGCATGAGATAAGTAGTGTTGTGATACATGCCAGGTTTAACAACAGACTACTCTGATGGTACCCTTCTAGGAATAAGAAATGAAAAAAAGAGCAAAAGTAGAATAAGATTAAGACATCATATAGATCTGTGTCTAAAAAGCACAATACTGGAATCATAACATATGAGTGTTTTGCTAAAAGAAAAAAAAAGCAAAAGCTTTCAGTTTGTGACATTCACTGAAAACACAGAGCGCTGGACCATCACCATCTTTCTGTTTGGCAAGATAGGAATGCAGCAGGTACACCACCAATTCAACCAGATATATCCAGATGGACCTTTAGAAGGCATTTCACTTGTTAACAAAAATGAATTTTGGGGGTGAATATTCTATTGAGTGCTCAAGTCTGTCCCCCCCCAAAAAAAAAACCCAGAACACATGAAGAGATATGAAAGTATAATGAAGCTAGTTTACATACTGAGAATAGAAAAAGGATTAAATTAATGCTAGCGATGAATGTTATGATTTAAAACAAGACATCTGCCTAAGGAAATTGATGATATCACTAAGACACTGATACCTTAAAAACTTGTATTGTCTTTGATGTTATTGAGATATTAGAAATAAATCACTAGAAATAAAAAAAAATCCCACAGTTATTGTCACAGGAAAAAAAAGTAAAATCAGAAATAGCAAAGAAGGAAAGAAAAATGCTTAAAACATCCAGATCATAGTCTATGTGACTAACAATAAGAATCTTACTAAAATTACACATTTTCAAGTCATCAGGACTAATGCAGTTTAACATACATGAAACTGAAAACAAGCTACCCAGTGACTTCTTGGACTCAGGAATGTTAAATTTTTAAAAATCTTGAAAAATTGGGAAAATTCCAAAAGAGTGAATGATTGTCCTTATCAATATTGAGTCATCAATACCCAAAAAGAGGAAGAAGAGTGACTCAGAAAAGTTGAGCTAACTGGCTCAATGATAATTTTGTTTTAAGGAAAGATGATCGTGATATATAAATTTTGGGGGACAAGATAACGTCTGAACAGTTAAAGTTGTTCTAGTGTTACAACCCACATGAAAATAGCCAAGGCATTTGATTTGGTACCAACTGAAATTTGGTTGGAAATTTCTATGGAATTAACTCTATATAACTTCCATATATTTCAAAACTGCTTCCTGACAGATCTCAAGGTGTTAGCAGAGGCAGAAAGATAACGAAATGTAAGACAGGGAGCAAAGAAAAGGATTTGCTCTGACATTTTCATCAGCCATTTAGATTTTCTAGTAAAGTCTGTGGGTGACAATGATTGCAATAATAAGTAATGGGGGGGAATGTTTGTAATCTGAATCGAACAGACGAAGGCATTATAATGCAGCCATAAATACATCTGAGGATCAGGACTGCAGGAAGCGAACATTTATCTTGGGAAGCGATAACTCCAAAAAGGATACACTGTAACCCAAGTTGAGTGTGACACCTTCCCAGTTTGACCTTTGCCAGACCTTCCTGACTGTTCAAATATTTCTGTCTCATACCATGACCAAAATGCAAGCCAGCTACATTGTGCTTTTTATTTCCTGGGTACAGACAAGTGTTTCCCAGAGTCCCATGCACCATGCCAAGTGGTACTGTTCTAAGACTTAGTCTGTTGGCTACTTGTCTCTCCTCAACGAGAGGAGAGGGGCATCACAACCTGCCATCACCTGATTCCTTACAGCCTGTTATCACTGTAATCTAGAACACAGTTCAGGTTAGCACATCACAATGGACTCTAACTTTGTGAAAGCCGTAGAGTTTCCATTGCCCAAGTGCTCATGGCTAGGACATTTCTGCAGAGATGCTGCAGTAGCTTTTCATATCTATAGTGATCATTAAGACACACCTGAAGCAAAGTGTCAGATTGTGTGTCTATCTTGCATTCACAGCATATGGAAGTGGAAGCCTATGAAAACCTGATGAAATTAGTCATTGCCAACATAGTCAATGCAAGTAGTGAACTGGCAGTGTTTAGGCAGACTGAACAAGACCACAGTGGTGTAATCACACTGTTTTGTGGATATGGAATACCCAGCAGCAGTTCCAGAAATCCTGTATGACCTCTCTGTTATGAAAGAAGTTGGCTACAGTCTTCCAGGGTCAGAGCATGCTGATAGAAGAGCACATACTGGTATGAAGGTGGAATGCTACAGAATTATGTCATCTGGCAGCACAGTTGATTCCTCATTCTTTCTAAATCACAAAACCATTGATAGAGAACATTCTGGAGGATCCTTTCCTGGAATGATTTAGGAAGCTGTATCCACCACAGTATGAAGCATGTTAGGATACCATCACGGAAAACTGGGTATGTATAATTATTGAACAGTATTTGCAAAACTAGTGGCAAGTATTTTTACTTATAAAAGGCTCAGAACACAACTGAATTCAACAACTATTCCTCCATTCAGAAGGTATATGAATCTTAGCTGACCGAAGGCTGGGGAAATTAGGTGTGTCACATATGCCAGCATGCTTACTGAGTAATGATATGCCAGAGCATGTGTTGATATCACAACACAGGTTTCTAACAAGACTGAGATTTGCTTTGTAATCCTTTAATGAGTCTCTTTGCGTTGAATGCACATACATATCTTGATTCTACTTGAGTTGTTAGCAGAGCAATGCTGTTGGCTCATCGGCAGGCTTTGCATGACATAATTTTATCTTTCAGTAAACTCCTGTGGCTTCTGTAATAAGAGCAAAACTCAAGAGTTTCATCGGTTTGATAAAGCTTTCCATGGAT